ATATTATTTTACACATAAGGTTAATTTGCTATCTGAACAGGTTGAACATTTTCTAGCATTTGTTTATTAGTATAAATCTGCAAGTTCTTCAAATATGCGATATTATTTTAGCGAAGAAGAAATATATAATGTCAAATTATAGGATTCTGAATTTTATCCAAAAAGTTGTAATTGTATAATACTAGTTTATCATATTTTGGGTTGATTTGTACTAATTAACTATTGAATTTCAGCCTGGCGAAATGCAAAAGAATATTTGGCCATTAATCCAATTAATAGAAAATACCATTTATAAAAATAAATTGAATGTTTTTAGTATTATTTAGCTGTTAATCCTAAATATCAGTTATATTTCCTTCTGAATTTTATTTTATTTTGAAATATTTTGGCTGATTTCTAATGTATGCAAATTGCTATAAATAAGATAAGTTGAATTTTAACCTATTTTTGATGTATACCAATGGATGTAATCAGATGTCAATTAGCTATAAATAAGATAGGTCAAATTTTAGCCAATTCTTGGCCGATTTCTAGTATATACCAATCAGCTATATTGATTTTTGATAATTTGTCAAATTTAGGTTGATTTTAAACTGATTTTTCACACGTCTGATTTTTTTGATTTCAACCAGTGTCTTGTAATTCAAACATTGTTGTAAACGTTCATCTAATTATTTGGATTTAGAATTAGAAGATATAGCTGCATCTCCAGTAAGGTTATGAAATAAGCTTCACATAATAGCAGATGTCAAATTTGCAACTAAGGAATACTAAAGTTTTATTAAATATATTAGCAAATAAAATTAAAATTAGAAATATTATTGAAAATAATTTACCTTGTCTAACATATTTTTTCTCATTTTTCATGTATGAATATTTATGAATATTATTAAGACTAGTTACTATAACAGCATTATTTTCTGTTTTAGAACGATTACAATTATAAATAGATACCCGCCATATAAAATTCTTAGTTTCTAAATAGTTTTCATGATGATATCTGTATATTGAAATTGGAAATAATAAACTTAATTCTTTAATAAAATTATATGTTTGATTAGACATTGATGGAAGATATTGATCTAAATTAATATAAATGTAATAATCCTTTTGTCGAAGAACTCTATCTAATTCAATATATTTTGATGATATTTGTGTTTTAGAAGCTTCATTAGTATATAATTCAGTATTTCTCACACCATCCTGAACTATTGTATTACTATTATACAATATATTCATTTCAGTATTAACTTGTTCTAAGTACAGTATGTAATATATTTCTGAATGCATTCTACCAATTCAAATACAGAAGAAATACCAGCTTCCCATGTGTTAGATGTGACCCAAGGTTGTTCAAGTGATAAATTTAAAGCTGTTATGATTGATTCGAGCTCATTTTTAGATATTTGTTTCGAGGCGTGATAATATTCATTATAGATTCGTCCTTGCTTGTCAGTATTAAGTTGCTTAAAAAGATAAGGCAAATGACATACTCTTTTCGCTAGTTTATCAAGATGTGGATCTAAATACCAAATTGCAGTTGTTAACCTATCTATAAATTTTTTACCAATTGTATTATGTGTACCCGCTGACCATCAAACTCTTTTCTCCTCAAAAATTAAAATCAGCTCATTATATAAAAGGTTATCACGCGTAGATTGAATTATTCATAAGTACATCAAATGCATTAACACTTGGAAGATCATCATTATTATTTTCTATATCTTGAATGATAAACCGAACTTGTTTGTAGCCAAGATATATATATAATTCAACATCAGCATCTAAACCTCCCTAATATCGACCCATTTATCTCCTATACCACGTCCATATACTTTTATATTAAAATCATCACCTCTGAATTGGTATTGCGTTGTTTTTGAAAAAACGTCATCAAGACTATAGCAATCATCGACTCTAAATGTATGAGGTTTTATTATGATATTTAGATTTTTTTCAACACGAACTTCCAAATA